TCGCCTTTGACTCCGCGGTGTTCTCTTGAGCTTGATTCTCCATCCTCAACAAGTTCATAGACTCCCTTAAAGCCCCTGCCATTTCTCGAGCTAGGGCCCCCATTGCGGTTTGACCGGCTTGTCCCACCTGTTCGGCCACATTAGTTTGGCCTGCTTGCTCGGCTATATTAGCTTGGCCGAACCCTTCTTCTTGCGCCGGAACCCTATAGAACGGTACCTCATGCACACTTCAGCGAGCCCTACTACGCCTCCTGCCTCTACTACCATGGACTTGACCCCTTCCTAACATCTTAATAAAGGACACAATTGAAATAATTTAGCACATTAACTCATATGTGATCGTAACTTGACTCACACATTCGACTACAACAATTCCATATATTTCTCTACCATATACACAATTCAATTTCACTCCACATAAGCACTTAGTCATGTAAACACATACGGACTATTCTTTTACGATGAAATCCGTCCTACAAAAATCAAGAATTCTTAGTAGAACGAGTATTGATCAAGTAACCTTTTAATGAGACCTCAAAGAATTTAACAAACACAAACAACATCCCAAAAGTCTAGTCTCATACTCATTTAGTCACATAAGCATATTATCACATAGTCACAAAATGTATAACACTTCCTAAGTATGCTAAATGAACCCATTGTGGTTAAACAACCACTTCCCACGAGCTCCAAGTATTCAAACCCGGTAGCTCTGATACCAAGTTGTAACGCCCTAAATTTCTAGCCCAAATGATAAGACAACAATCATGGCTCTTTCAAGGAAACCCGAATATAAATCTCCAAACTTACATTACATAATACAATAGTTCTTCATGCAACAATACATTAATCCAACAACAAGTAAATAAACAAATAAATACCCCTAAGGGTTTATAAGTTTCCAAGACTTGAGCCTAGTTACACAAAACGGTTATTTAAACTTACACACGTATAGCCCTTGGCTTACATACAGAGTCACAGCAAAATGAGAGTCTCGTACTCTCAACACACATTTCCTCGCCTTTAGGTAGGCGACATCATCACATCTTTTCCTGCACAAAAATCCCGCAGGGTGAGTATAAAGCCCAGTAGGAAATCCTTAACAAAGTATATACATTTTATACAAGTCTCAAGAGATAAAATGCACATACCATGCTATGCCCTTTTGAAAGAAAATCACATCTTTATCTTTGAAAACTATCATGCTCAATGATGTCATGCAATTTCAATTCTTCAAAACTTAACAATTTATTTCAAGAGTGGTAAATACAACTCTGGTAATCCCTAGGTCGGTGTCTGCAAGTAGACTATATAAGTATTACCAATTTGTCATTTTTACCAGTATTAACCAGAAGACTTGACACCTATCCTTGCGGGTTTTCGGTCTTTCACCCTGGACTCTCAAGCCAACTTATTCAATATCATCTACACCACCTATCAAGACTTACCAACGTATTTACCCCAAAATCATTCCATAAAAACTTGTTTCTCAACATTCTTTTCTCAATGCAAGTTTTCAAATCAACTTTAATGTAATCAAATGAATTGATATGCCAATAACACAAGATGAATATAAATACTGTTATTCCAATTCATCATCCTAGGAATAACACAATTCCCTCTTCTCAAGTATCCTCAACAATTAGTCATTTCAAGACTATTTCAACGTTTTGAATAATAATTTCTAAAATGAACAATAATTCTCATATTCCCTGAAATTCATCATTTATATAAATATAAATAAAAAAATTTCCAAACATTCATTTATTTTGACACACAAAATAAATATAACAATATCATTCAAGGATTTTCAGTCTCATAAAAAAAAATCTCTAAATTCTAAGTTTTCTCACCAAAACTATACAACTCAAATCTTTTGAAAGAAAACTTTCCAAAATTATCTTTTCTTCAATCAACGAAAATTAAAAATCATAAGATCATTTTAAAAGAACAAGAGACAAACCTACTTTCAAAATCGCTTAATTTCTTAAATCAACAATCAATTTTCAAAGCTATCGAAAGATGATTTCGAAAATCGTATAAATCTTGCAAATATATATATATATATATATAACTCTAAGAAAATCCTTACCTCAAGTTTTGAAGAAGAAATGAGATGAAATCCCCAAAATCAACGGTGTCGAAACTTGATCTTCACCATACACAACGAAGCCCTCGAGAAGTTAACCAACTTTGATGAAGAACTTATGGCAGAACTCTAATGGATCTTGAGAAATTAGGGTTTTGATCCAATTTGGCGTAGGAAAATGTAGAGAGAAGGGAGAGGAAATGGTTTTTAGAGAGAGAGATATACAAAAATGATCTGAAATATCAGATTCATGAATTGATATAACATGGTTCGCTCGAGCGTGGAAAGGCCTGCTCGAGTGTCAAATACACTTTCCCAGTACTTGTGCAGACAGGTTAAACTTCTGAAACCAAACATTCTCCGCTCGAGCACATAAACGGCCGCTCGAGTGGACAAGCAATTTCTAATGCATTTTGTATTTTTGCTTTGGGGGTGTTGCCCCTCAACTCCGCTAGGGCGCTGCCCTCTGGACTCCCGCGAGTTGACCAGGCAGCTCGATCCCCGCTACGGCGCTGTCCTTGGACCCGTCAAGAGGCGTTGCCCCCTGGATCCCCGCGAGCTGACCTGCCAGCTCGATTCCCGGCATACTCAGTGAAGTGGCAAAACTGGGATCACTACATAATTTTATCTTTAGTAGGTAGAAATAATTTTAAAATTTTAAAAATATTTTTTTGATATTTATTTTTGTCAAATTAATTTATATTTTATCAAATTTATGACTTTGTCCTTAAAATTGAATAATAGTATCTTTAATTGTCTTTATTTGGAATAAGATTCAAAATTTAAGGTGAAATGTGTCATAATTTAAAAGGTAAAAATTAAAATGACACAAATCTTAAACTATAAGGAACGTTAGTGCTTTATTTTATATTTTTCATTCACTAGAATCTACTCTCTAATCTAAATTTAAAAGGAAAGATAAAAGAGATCATCCCAAACGCCCTACATAGGATTCGAAGTCGCATATTCCAGTATGAAAATTGAAAAATGTACCACTATAACACAAAGTGATGAGTAATGCTCTTCAAATACACTTTAAAACCTTCATACCACATGTATCTAGTACAAGGGTTTTTGAAATGACATTTTATGGAGAAGATGAAAAGGTGGATTATTAATTTTGATTACTTCAGTTATGGTGGATTATTACTTTTGATCAAAGCAAATGCATGCACTGAAGACACTGCAGGAAAAATGACTTTTAGCGGCGTTTTAAAAACTCCGCTATATGTCTTAAAAACGCTATTAATTCCTTCAGTGACGCTTACCATCAAACGCCGAGGACGCCGTCGTCGCTGTAAGTATACGACGCTTTAAAAACGTCGTAAAAATAGTATAGGCGGCGTTTATAAAAACGCCGCTAAATGTGGCAGTCAACGGTAACATGACGTCACACAGGCATTCGCGACGCTTCAAAAACGTTGTAATAGCTTTTTTGTTATTTTAAAAATACAACTATGGTGGTGTTTTGAAAAACGCCGCAATAGATTTTTTTTTCCTTTTTTTTCAATCTATTAATTTTGTAATATTTAACTTTAAAAATATACCTGTAAAATAGCAACAATAACATAACATTGTTTAAAGATCGAAATTTGATTAAATACTTGAATACTTCAACATGCTCCTGCAACAATAACATAACAATGTTCACCATCCTTCCTAGAAACATACATTTCATGTCAACAAAAAAAAATAAGCTTTCCTTACAAGCCTAAGAAAATCAGCATGTTGAGCATCCTCTGAGTCAATTGCTCAAAAAAAAAAAAAAGCTTTCCTTACAAGCCTAAGAAAATCAGCATAAGAAACATATGCTCTTCAAAACCTCTCAAAAATGATCCAATCCCTAGGTGTTCTGAAGCATACGCCAAAACTAGGCCTCCCACAAACATTAAACCTAACTTGCACGCATAGATAACAAAGGAAACAAAACACAATTATTGACTTGATCACAAACAAAAATAGCAAAACAGGGATTTTGGAATTGCACCTTAATTCAAGGGTCACTATGTAAATATTAACTACATATAGCATAACTGAGCCTCCGGAAAATAGAAACAGAAGGCACTGCAGTTCTTGAGAGTAAATACAAACTTGTCTTCAATGAAACAAGATTAGATGTTGAAAGTTAAAAACTTAATTAGGTGCATTTAACAATCCACAATTAGTGTCTTTTTTTTTTTTTATAAATACAATTAGTGTACATAGAAGAAATAATTAATATGCAGATCACACACTGTCTATACATATAAACAGCCCAGATGCAGAAAATGACCATTGTTCATTTATTATAGAAATATGTGATATTCGGATGAATCACACAGCCTTGAACTTCTTGTATCTTACACATATTGAGCTCTTCATGTATGACTATCCTTTATTATTCTGAAAACTATCTATTCTACTAAAGTTCATTTATGTTTCTGCTTACAAGAGGGAACTATGGAAAGATACGAGGAATTATTCGAATTTTCCAAATTTAGTTTAGTTTTTTTTGTTTTTTGCTTTTTGTTGACACCTCCCCAAGGAGTAAATATTGGATGCAAGGGTGATAACATGTGGCAGTATCACCATCCAATAAGCATTGTTGAAAATATGAAGTTTCATGATTAATCAACATGGGAACCATCCTGACAAGGCCTAAGCCAAAGACATAAATCTTTCTAAAAATTACTCTAATCAACATGGGAACCATCTTATACTTCAATCATCAACTCCAACCAACCAAATATAGAGTTCTTAATAAATATCAGCTTAGATGCCAACCCAAGAAAGGATTTCTATTAGTAAAACTCTTGAAATAAAACCTATATTAACAAAACAATCTTCAATGCATACTCTTGTAGCATTAGGATCAGATCAGTTGAATTGAGGTTTTAAATTTCTTCAGTCCTTGATATTGACGTATCAAAATTCTAAAATTATAATTCTTTTCTTTTATTAATTCCCTATATTGAGGCATAGTGTTAATAAAATCAATCAATTGAAAAATTCATGCTTTTGAATTTCTTCCCTATGTTCATAACTAAAAGAATTCATCTTTCTTTGCTCTTTTAACTGTTAATTCCACTTAAAAATTACTCGTATTTATCCTAATGTTAATGATATTAAAAAAGGGAGAAATGGAGATGGCTTACACAATTGGGATAGGCTTGAGAACACCATATAAAGACTCGATCACTCCAGCTGATCCACCACGGACCTAAACAAATATATAAATATGAAGTTTCAGCTTAATCTATGTTTGTTTGGAAGCTGAGAAAATGAAACAACAAGAGAACTAGAACCTGTAAGGTGACTGATCCATTGACAGTGAGGCGAATCCCGTTGTGGGAGATTGAAGATGGAAGCTTTGTGATGATTTTGCCTTCAAGTGGTTCCTGAAATTAGTTACAGAATCAATAAATACACACATATATGTATATATAGATATATATATATAGAGAGAGAGAGAGAGGAGGGGGGGAGTTACATTAGGGCGAAAGATACGGTTCGATTGGGAGAGTTTAAGCTCTGCAGACATGGCAACGAGAAGGCAGAGAGAGATGAGTAGAAGAAAGACATAAACACAACAGAGCAGACCAGACCGAACCCAACATCGACCAGAATTAGAAGATCTACATTACATTAGCACTACCAATTAGACATAAATACCTACATTACATTACCACTACCAATTAGACATAAGCATAGTAAGATCTCATTAAAAAAGTAACAATTCATATCAGAATTAGAAGAACTATTAAAAAATTTCATCCATAAATTCCTAAGAGGAAAACCAAAATAGAGAATAAATATCTATTGTCTACATATTTTCTTTTGACTTGATAGTTTTTTCATCATTCATAATGTAAACCTTTCATAATTTGTTGCTTCAAACTTTGCTCATGCAACAACCTGCCTCCCATCTGCTGCTAATCCAGCAACTGTCTGTAATCAATGGTAAATTGCAAAGGAGAGCTTAGAATTATGATGAGAGTTGAATATTGTCAAATTCATATATGAAGTAAATGGGAACGTGATTCTCTGTAGATATTTCAATGTAAAAAAAATCACATAATGCATGTAATATGAATAAAACACTGGACAACAAAGAGCAGGCAAAGCTACAATATAGATCCGATACCTAAGAAAAACAAAAACATAGATCGAAATCAAAATCATCCAAAACAAGCTTGAGTCAGACCAATAAAAGAGAAGAGCACTTAGATCAACAATGGAAATCGAAATCCTAAGCAACCGTTTCAGTCAATCAAAGGAAATCAAACTAATAGAATGTAAATCAAAACAGATCTAGATTGCTACTGTGCAGTCATGAAAAGCCCTTTCAAAAAGATCCACTGCATTTTTTAAGCGCCGTGAAGAACGAAACCCTAGATAAATGAAAATCGAGGGAGATCGAACAATATCGAAGAGAGATCGAATAATCTCGAAAAAAATTAGTCAAATCGAGGGCACAAAACAAGATTCCAAAATAAAAAAATAATGAAAAGTGATTGAGACAAAAGATCTAAGGTTTTGATCTACAATAAGAATAATGAAAAACGATTGAGATAAAAGATCTAAGGTTTTGATCTACAATAGACTTACTTGAAATCTTCATCATCAGTTACTTCGTCAATATCTACAAAGAGAGCTTCATTCGTGCCATTTTAGAGAGAGAATAATGTTGGAAAAGGAGAAAGGGAGGGGAGGGTGGAGGGGGAGAGGGTGATGAGTCTGTGACTGTGATGTTCGGAAAAAAAGTGATATTCGAGTTTGAGTGGCAAAGGTTTGTTTTTTTTTCTTCTTTTTTTTTAACTCATTAATTAACTGGTAGGGTTAAGCATCAGCGAAGGCACGCGTCTTGAAAAGCGAGAAATAAAGACGTTTTCAAAAAGCGTCTTCTTCTAAGCGCCGTGACAATGAATTTTTCTTGTAGTGAGAAAGCCCAGATTTGTTATTTTTGCAGGAAAAAAAAAATTATTTTGACTCTAATGAATTTTAAAATATAAGATTAAATTCAATTTGATTTTTTTTTTAATTTCGTATTCAATATTGATTTTGTTTTAAATAATTCAAAAAGTTGAATATAGAAATATTATTTTTATTAAAAATGGATTTATATAGTTAAAATTATGGGTGAAGCACTAATAAATCCCAAAATATGATTTCGTGAACTGTTTAGTCCTTCATTTTTTCCTATGAATCCAAAAGTTCTATTAAAGTGGAAATTATACAAAAAGGTAGTCACTTACACATTTGGATTTAATTTTTTAGGGATAAAAGTGGATTTCTCTAAATGTGAAATTACACATTTTGACAATCTGCATTATAGAGGTTTTGGATTTTTCCTTCTTCTGAAACAAATCCCAAATTACGAACAAGAATGTAATACTCCAATATAATACTCCAATAACGAAACACTCGAATATAACACATTAAAAATTCTTTAGTATACTTTTTCTAAACCTAACAACATAGCACTCTAAACTTTTACCAAACGTAACACTCCAATGTAACACACTCTAATATAACATACAAAAAAACTCTTTAGTGCACTTTTTCCAACTGTAACACTCCAATGTAACACTAAAAAAAAACTCATTAGTGTACTTTGTCAAACGTAACACTCCAATCAATATAATGTCAAACATAACACTCCAATGTAACACACAAAAACACTAAAAAAACTTCATAGTGTACTTTTTCCAAGTGTAACACTTACAGTTTGAAATTATACATTTGTCCAAAACATAATACGAAAATTTTGTACTCCTTTTCAAATGGTTTGAAGAATTCCTGATCCTTTTTTGGAGTGTTAAGTGTGAAAAAAATACACTAAGGAGTTTTTTTTTAGTGTTACGTTGAAGTGTTACACTAAGCAGTTTTTTTTTTTTTTTTTTTGGTGTTACATTAGAGTGTTATAATAATGAATTTTTTTGTGTGTTTTTTTTTGGAGTGTTTCATTTGACTGTTATGTTTGAAAAAAGTACACTAAGAAATTTTTTTGAAATTTTACATTGGAGTGTTACGTTTGAGTGTTACATTGAAGTGTTATAGTTTAAATTATATGTTTATCGAAAACTTATTAATGAGTTTTTCTATTCCTTTTGAAATGTTCGAAAATTTTCATATTTTAAATTATTTGTAGTACTTCTAAAATATTTGAAAAATCTCACATTTCAAGTCATTCCAAATAAAAAAGATTCTCATATAAAAGTTAATCCCAAATTTGATTCCCATAAACTGTGTATCTAAATATAATAGAAATAAGGGTATAACCGTAAAACTAATTTTCAAATAATATATTAAATCTCCCTTTCCAAAATTAATTGCACTAATTGGTTTATAAGAAAACTCTTGGGATTAAACGGATCACCATTCCTGAATATGAGATTTATAGGTAAATTTTCCTAAAATTATAACTTTAAAATTTTAGCAAAAAATACTCATAAATAGGAAAAATATTGAAAATTGTCATTTCCACCAAATATTTGAATATACTAATCAAGAAGTGATGGGTATATTCTTATAACCAACAAAAATCAAATTTTAGGTCTGTTTGGTAATGTTTTTATTTTCAATTTTTTTGTTTATATTTATAAAAAATTTAAAAACTGTCATATAAATTTATTTGATAACTTTTTGAATTTATAAATAAGTTCCCTCAAATTAAAAACTAAGGCAAAAATCATAAACTCAACCCAAACATGTTTACAATTTTTATTTTTCTAAAAGTAAGCAAAAATTAATTTACAATTTTTTTTATAAACATATATAAAAAATGTAAAGGTTTCCAAACGTCATATGGTTTCAAGCACCGATCACATGGACCGTTGGCCAATTATTCTAATATTTAAAAAGAATATGCTTGGGACCCACTTTTGGGGGTCACCCCCTCACCCCTTTGCCACGTGGCGAGTGGTGATTGGAGGAGCAGGAAAAAAAAGAAAAAGAAAAAGAAAATGTAACCAATGAGAGAGAGAAGGGGTCAAAGGAGGTGGGAGGAAAATGGGGGATGAATCATTGTTGTATTTAAAACTTTTATTTTTTGAACAAACTTTAGAAATGCGGTGACACAAATCTAGATCCTCTAGAGTGATGTTAGAGTAATTTTTTGTATGGCTAAAATTTAATTATATAAAAATTAATGGTATAATACTTTTGAAAATCACTTTAAAAAAAGGCAAATGCTAACAAATGCCCTATGTGTATTGTTTAATTTTGGGATTAAAATATTTTGAAAAATGATGAAAAGATTGAAAGAAATTTAAAAATGAGTGAAAAGTGTTATAAAATTAGCAAATAATTGCCTTGAATCCTATGTACATTTTTTAAATAATTTTTTTATTTTATTTTGCTCCTTGAGCACTTGTTAACAAGACCATTAAAAAAAACTCAACAAAACAAAAAAAAAAAAAATACTCCACAAATTCCAAACAGGTTCATTTGGCCCACATTCACGCTAAAATCACTCTAGAAAAAATCTTAGTCATTTTTTGGAATATGGAACAATAGTCTATTGTGACGAGTTTGTATCCCCTGTGGGCTTCCCTACAGTGCCCCAAAACGACTTCGTTTTGGGACAAAATTTACCACCAAAAAAAAAAATTGGAGAAAAGATTCAAAACCCATTGTCGGCAACAATCGTTGTCACCACCTCTCTAATGCTGATATCCATCTCAAACCCTTTAAACCCCCTTCCTTCCCTCTACCATCGGCATCACCACATACCTGTCATCACCGCCGCAACCCCTCATCCCATCTCCTTCTTCTTATTGTTTTTTCCTTTTTCTCTATCAAGAAACTACTAAACCTACCCTTACCAATGCGACCACCTACCCCCACAGCTGACGCCCTTCGGCCTCCTCCCCCCCACGTCCACCCCTACTAGCTCTGGTCAACCCCATATCAGCACTACAAACGCGAGCCCCCTTCTCTTTCTTACGATCTCAATCTTGATCTCGATCATGCCACATCGTCAATCTTCGCCAACCCATTCCCTTCCCGTGCCATCGTTGCCCAATCACCTCTACCTTGAGCATTTTCTTTATTTCTCCGATTCACTGTTGTCAGACTCTTACAAACCCTAGATCTAGGGTTTGCACCGTTCTTCCTCCTCAACCATCGTCGCCGTCATAACCCATGCGAAAACCTAATTGTAAGGAGCATATCCACCTCTTTTGGTGGTCGGCTATTAGTAATAAAGTGCAAGATAAATGCCTATTGCAGCTGTTTCCAATCACTGATCGATCTGGCCTGTAGTTCGTAATACTAGTAGAATGCCATTTCTCCTACACTTGATGAGAACATCCTACACATAATTAGCCCATTGTTGCCCCACAAGGTCATAGCTTGAGTGCAGTGTTGAATATGATTGATCGAATCTCCCTTGCCGTCGTATAGATTGAACTTTGAAGGGGTGAATCTCTTCGGCAAATCAGCACTATCAATTGCTTGGGATAACAGGGAAGCTATTTCTTGTATGAAAATCTTTCTTCAAATCAGTTTGGGGTTTCCCTCAGTTTGTTCATCGAGCCAACTCCTCAGGTCGCTCTTTTGATACTCCAACAAGTCATCTCGTTTGGTGACATGGCGCTTCTTTTATTTTTGTCTGGAATGACTGCTGGCAATTTGGCTGGTAGCCTTCTAAGAGACAACCCTCTTTTGTCAGACACTTCATACTTCGATTATCTTTGTTGGGGATTCTAGTCCCCTCCGAGCTATTCGTAACTCTTCATTGAGAGCCTCGACCTAAGCTAGAAACTGATCTACAAGTTGGATTTACTGGTTATCGTTGTCTGAGAGAGGGGGGAGCTATTCTTCCCGAATCTACAAGTGCCATTTCTGAGTCGTGGCCAAAATTTTGGCAAAGTGTATTGTTGACCAGGGTATTCTGACGATCACTTTGTATCTCTTCTAGAGATGGATGGTTACTCATCTTCTCGTCGTTTCCACAAACGGCGCCAGTTGTGGAAGGTAGAATTCTTCTTCATAAAAGTGAAATGACATGTCCCTTCCTTTACTCTGTCAAAAGAAACCAAAACGTTAGTGATCATCCCCGACTAGTGTTGGTCGAAAGGACCCTCCGACGGTCAAATCAAAATACTGATTAACCATATTTAA